TAAAAAGGGAAAAAAACTTCTACATACTGTTTTACGACAGTTTGGCAAGAATAACATTCAAATGATGTGAGCACTAAAAAGATTTCTCAAACCATAAAGCACTGTAGACCAGTATGCGAATTTGCTGCTTTCTACCAAATGCATTGAATTACACAAATTTGATTAAATGCTTTAAATTATACTTGTCAAGAGCTTAACATTCATGTACCCTTGAGGAATATAATAATAGTCAACATTATTCAGTTTCTTTCTCCTCTGTTCTTAGTAAATGAGCTTAGATTATAAGTACAAGCCATAAATAGTTTCTTCCCACACTAAGTGATCTCAAAGTCTATGGGTAATAGCATAAACAAGGATGTATAATCAGTGTTTTGCCATATTGTGGGATAATGCAATAATCATATTTATTACAAACACATGTCAAAGTAAATTGTTATAAAGGAATTCTCTCATTGTCTATGCCACAGAAGACATCTGGTGTATATTTATTTTGTGTAAGTTAATAAGGCTCTGGGCCTGCCTAAATAAGTAAAGCAATTTTCAGAATAATTTTTCCAATGTACAGTCCAAAACGTCCACATGGTTGATATTTATCAAGAAGAAATGTTTCAAGACAGTTCAGACATCTAGAAATCTTAAAGTATAGCTATGCCCATGCTATGCTATGCTTAATTACTTTCAAACAATATATAAATTATGCTACCATTGTTTTTATTTTCTTTAGACAGACAGACAGACTGTATTAGTAGTAAACATCATAGCCTGACAAGCAGTGAGCAAACTTTGAACTACCACTAAATAGGTTGGCAAGGATGGCTACTGAACTGATTGTGCTCTGAACAATAGAATTATTAAATTTAAATGGATTGACTTATGAATAATAAACCAGAAGAGTAAGTCCTTTTTATCATGCTTAAACTCATCGACTGCCTAAAAAGCTAAGTGGAAACATGGTCTTGTGGCCAATTTCTGATGAAGTCTCTGATTCACACAAACTTGTACTGCCCGTGACATGGAAGAAGTGATGTGATTGGAGAGAACACACAACAAATATGTACATAGTTACATAGTTCAGCTTCTGTCTCAAAATACCTCCATGATAACACCATGTGGTGTCATCACTCGGTATCCCCTAGCAATGAAAATTAATTTTACAGTAATTAAGATGTTAATACATCCAACTTACCATGGATTTGCTTTTAGAGTCTCAGATAATGTGTTAAAGTTTAAGTGCACCTTTTTGACCATGTTTCATTTTACACTCATATTTTAGGGTAACATAAAACATGGTCAGATCGCAAACCTTCCCCCCCTCCTGCCACCCCCCCACTTACCTGAATTGCATATAAGCCACTTGCAAGTTTAGCACTACATACATGAGGAGATATATAAGGGCAAGGAAAGATTTATTTAGGACACTTCAGAGTTCAAAGTTATGTTCTTGCTCTAGTGCTCCCAATATTTCCCCCATGATGGCACTCTAGGAATGGGGAGAATATGACACAGCAATTGTCCACTGCCCCATCTATATTTTGCATGCAATAAAAAAAAAAAACAGAACAGAAAAATAAAAGTGGTAAATTAGTGTTGTGTTTTTAACACGTTCTAATCTGCAAAGCTCATTGCCAGCACTTTCCATATTATTTCATCACCATATCACAGAACCGACATGCTGGTCCTTGTCAGTCGCTACTGGAACAAGGAAAACGTTGCTTAATTCCCCTTCCCTCACTTCCCCTCCTCCTTTAAATCTCCTAGCGGCAAATGGGTCAGTTAGCTAGAGTAGTTTTTCTCTTGCCATCCATCACATTACATGATTACAGTATGCTTCCAAACTGCCCCTTGTTCCACACAACCTCCTAAATGCTGAGACAGGGACCATAACAACTAGCAAAAATAAATACATTAACTTTACAGGAAGCAATCTTTCTTCCAAAGGGAAAAGCATATATAGTGTTCTCTTACACAGGGGCTTCACCACATTCTTACCCATGCTTTTTCTGAGAGTTAGTAATATTGTACTCCCCGGGAACACATTTCTCTATTAGAGGGGAGTTTTACCTAGGGGGACACTGATGAGTCCCCAGCATTCCATCAGACAGTACATGGATAACTCTGAGGCCTATATTTCCACAATGAAGTGTTTTTTTTAATAACGCAAATCTCTATTTAGCTACATTTTTCACTTTATAACATAATTACTTTATTATATCAGTGCCATACATAACAACAAAGAGAATAATAAAAGCAATTCCAAATTTGTTAATTTGGAGAAGAAATATGGCGAGCTATATTGCTATAACCCTCCCACTGTAGGCTGCAGTGCCTGCATGGGGAGAATGTAAGACACAAATGATAATTTTGACCACTCATGAGGAGGTAAACTAAGATTTTTGTTTGCTTTTGCATCCCATAGTAACTGGAATTGGTACTTGTTTTGACTGCCATAAAGTAGCCTAAAGTTAAAGATTAAGGTTTCTTCCTAATATCCCCTACAACTCTTCTTAGTATACTCCAGCTCTTTATCTAAGGAGTACTATTTAGACCAGGGGTAGCAAAACTCCGGCCCTCCAGTTGTGGTAAAACTACAAATCCCATGATGCATCTCTCTTCGGGAGTCATGTCTGTGGCTGTGAGAATCTTGCAATGCCTCATGGGATTTGTAGTTCCACAACAGCTGGAAGGTTTGCTACCCCTGATTTAGACAAATGCTGGCTGCCGCTGGCTCAAGATTGCAAGGGGTGTTCTTAGGAAAGTATGGCAGCTGGAATCTGACTTTGCGGTAAAATCTGATTGGTAAGTGCAAAGCCCATTATTCTGCGCTTATTCTCAAATTTGCATCTACATTTACATCTACCATTCATCAGATTTGTATTCACTATACTGAATGATCAACAGGTGAAAAAAATAGATTATGTGCTAGACAAGGCATGACTACAATGGTATTTCACTGTCTCCATGTTCTGTCTGTGATTACATTACAGGACTTTTGTATTCTTTCAGTTTCTTAATAATTTCTCACTTTGAAAATAGAACATATTTATAATGCTGAGAAGTGGTGACAATATTGAGACTCTCTGGGATTGGGGCTTTTTTTATGTTACCAACCTCAATTCAGAAACACAGAAAAGAGTAACAGATGGCATTTCTTATGTTCATCGAGCTTCTGAAATAGGAATATATGAAAATGACACTGATTACTCTTGCATACACACACAGCCTGCTCTGTTTCACTACTTTGAATTTTGTGAACATAATGTTGGTTTAAAGATTCATGTAATTGCATGTTATGCTCATCATGAAATAAGAGATAATTAATATCGGATATGAATAATATTCACAGTATAATGGATCACTCCTGTGCAAACACACATCAGTTATCAAAATGAAAAAAATATGATACAATCATTTACTCTGCAGGAAAGTATATATTTATATTAAGTATGAAGTCACAACTGTCAGTGAAGTTGATATGAATTAGGCCTGAGACACCCATATGACAGTCTTTTAGAAGAGGTGGGGTTTGGGGCTATAACTGAAAATGGTCAAAAGCATACGTATTAAAATCAAGATCTGAGTTCAATAAGCTAAAATCTGTATTTTTGCTATAGGTTAATCTATGTATGTTATTATTGATCATTATGCTGCATTATTGAAAATCCCAGATAGTCAAGAAGTGCTGAGCTCTCCATTAATTAGTGATGTTCACTGTCATTGCTGTCACTAGCCCCATCAATCATGCTAAATATGTTATTAGTCAGAGGTGGTTCATTGTTTTTAAAAAGAAGTGACACATTTTAGTTCAGACAATATCCATGTATAGTCTTAAAATATGTCTCTTTTTAGATTCTCAATGCTTGAGTTTGGAAATGCAGAAGGTGTAGTGTTGATTTCACCTCCTTGCGTGCAGGCAAATGAGTTTCACTATGCTATAGTGCCACTTGTTAAACATTTTGCCTCTGCTTACAGCAGGGTAACAGTAAATTAGGCAAGTAAACATCAGGCATACAAGGGCTGCTAGCAATAACTTCAGTATCTGCTGCTTCCTCAATGTTCCATTGCACTGATTGATCAGCACACAGTGTTCACAGCTTCAAGCACAGCTCATTGAATACTGATTCAGCATACTGAGAACAAGGGTAAAATATCTGGTCATCAGATTAGTCATCATTCTCTATGATCTGGCCTAGTCCAGACTCCATCTACTTGGCTGCAGCTTATGGACAGCACTGGAGGCTGTGAACACTGCTCCAAAACCTTACAGCACAAAAAGGACATTGTAGGGTGTCAGGTACTGAAGTTATTGTTAGCAAAGCAGCCAAAATCTGTCTGTTACTTGCTTAGTATGTTTCCCCTAACATACAGTTCCTAATAAGCTGTCCGTTCTTATACCCCCTCACCAAAAACATGTTTCAGAAAGGGGTCTCAAAGTCCTTTCTAAATACTGGTGCTTACAAATTAGAGTCTTCCATCTCAAGTTTGCAAGCACACTTTTATTGCATGTGGTCTAACTTAGTACATAAATAGTTTAGGAATGGAAGCATAAAATGACAAACAACATCAAATTAGGTGTATTTTCAACAAATTTGTGTATTTGTGTGTCTTACACCATGTTCAGCTCAGTATTTTGAAAGATATGCAGACTTACCTGTTCAGAATATTACCATGTAGACACTGGAACTTTCAGACTTGAGATTAAAAATGTTCAGTAAGACAAAGGTTGCTCGCATGAAACAAGACTTGTAGCACAATAAAACACTTCAATGAGTTACATTGTATGAAGAAACATTTCTTTTTCATTTTCTTATCCTAATACTTTAGGAATGCCATATTTTCAACACAGCAAATACAGCAATATGTTAGCTAGTCAGTTCCTACCTCTAATGAGGTAGAACATGACATTTTCACCCTACACATCCTGATTATCTTGAACTGCTTTGACATGATACAAATGCAATATCATCAGTCACTCTTAGTATGTTGCTAAAAGTTGCACTTACAAAGTATCCAGTTCCCAGGCTGGAGGCAGCTGAGCTCTGCAATGAAAAAAAACAGAACAGAAAAATAAAGTGGAAAATTAGTGTTGTATTTTTAACACGTTCTAATCTGCACAGCTCATTACCAGCACTTTCCATATTATTTCATCACCATATCACAGCACTGACATGCTGGTCCTTGTCAGTCGCTACTGGAACAAGGAAAACGTTGCTTAATTCCCCTTCCCTCACTTCCCCTCCTCCTTTAAATCTCCTAGCGGTTTGGGGATGGCAACGTGTTATGTACTGAATTCCAGGCTTCTGCTGTGGCTGTAATTGCCAATTTATTTGACAGGCAGCTGGGTAATGATGGCATTTCGCCCTGCACTGAGACTAAGCAGACACTCATCAAACTGCCTCCCTGACTTGCTGACATTCACTGCCCTGATCCCAAGTTACTATGTATTGTGGCCACAAAGTGGCAAGAGGGAGAAAAGAACAGACTAACTTCAAACAGGCAAATCCTAAAGGGCTTGGATGACTTTTTCAGTGTGTGACCTGCTTGCCAATTGATTCCCGGGGGTCATAGGAAAATGAGGCATGTTGTAAACATAATTAGTAGTCTGAGATGTGAAGAACGTGTAGGCACAGCCAGGGAACTAAAACATAAGGCAGCCGCAGACTCTAAAATTACCAAACTTTGAGCTACTTCATTGTCTACAATAAGATCATAATATTTTTCTATGGCAAATTTACAATCAAAAGAGACTTTAATGTAACAAAATGTATGACTTTTTTTTACTATATTTATGTAGTTGCCTTTAGTGAATTGTCTAACATATATAAGTAAACATATCATAAACCTGGGCAATTCAAATTCTTGCAATGAAAAATGCATAAAAACAGAGGTTACCGTCAGTAAAAACAGCATATCAAACACCAACCATCATTATCATAGAGCAATAGTCTATAGAAATATAGACTTATCCAGAATAGATGACATTAAGAGTGTTTCTGCTAGGCAATATAATACACTTAAGCACACCTACAGAACACCTCTCAAACCTTTTGATTGAGTGCAGCAGCCCTGCACCACCCTGGCTGGGGGACAAGAAAAGGTAGCTGGTCACCTGGGAGCTCTCGTTATACTATTGGAACTATAAAGGAACACTAAGAAGGGAATTTATCAAAACTGGAGAAGACAAAATCTGGAGCAGCTGTGTATTGCAACCAATCAGCATCTCTCTCTCATTTTCAAATAATAACTGAACAAACTGAGGAGAGAAGCTGGTTGGTTGCCATGCACAGCTGCTCCAGATTTTGTGTGATCCAGTTTTGATAACCCCCCCCCCCAAGAGTTATTTATGAGAGCCAGTGACTCTTGCAACATCAGATTAGACTTACTCGTCATGTGATCAGAACTCTGAACCTTACTTTTCAATTTTCACTTTTAAACATTTTTTTTACTGTTGCTAATGCTTGCTTTGTATTACCTTCTCTGTAAATATTTCTCGCACCATTTTATTTTCATTAAAAAATATTTAAAAGTCCTTAACATGAATCTCTAAATGCGCTACCTAGAAATGAAGGAACGTTGCTTTTCTGAAGAAACATCTGTTATTGAAAATCTGATACATTCCTGTCTAGGAATTGCAGCAAGTGATGGACATTTAAGGGCCCATTCACACCATAGCATTGTGTTAATTGCATACAACAGTGTGATTAATGCACGCTATTGCAAAACACACCTAGCATGCAATACTGTGCACTAGGTGCATTGAGTTACCATTCATTTGAATTTGCATTTTGAATGCCATTCATTCTAATGGAACCCCAATGCACCTTCTGCTGCCTTGCAGTAATACAGCCAGTCATTCTTTAAGGGTCTATTGACACCATATTGTTGCCTTAATTGCACAATATCATGCGATTAATGCAAACTATCTCACAATAGACCGATCATGCATTACTGTGCATTAGGTGTGTTGCATTGCCATTAATTTAAAAGTGGTGCATGCCACTGTTATTTTCAGCAATGAGAGCCTGTGAGAGCTTAAAATAACAGTCACCAGGCTGAAAACAACAATTGTTATAGCAAATTAAACTTGCATTATAGATTGGTGAATTGGGTCTTTACACTTGTTACCATAATGTCATCATCACAAGCGAGAGCTTGAATTATTCACATATACACATGGTACATAGTCCACAAAGTGGTTATTGTTTCAACCTCTATTCTCAGGCTACTTTCTTACACAGCAATGGGTACTGGAAGTCTCTGCAGCCACACAGATTCTGCCAGCATCACATCCAGGTTATAGTGTTTCAGGTACCCTACAATCTGAGTATACAAACTCTGTAATATCGCCTTTAGATTTACCAAAATTATGTAACATAAGGACCTACCTAGACTATCTATTCAATATGTACACAATCAGGCAGACCCTCATACTAAATTGTTGTTGAAAGATCAAAAGGACATTTGACAGTCAGATTGTCACAAGATGGAAGAACTACTTGCCACCAAACAGGATGCACTGGACAGCTTCCGAACAATGTGGGCCTGTTGGTCCTACTTTACTAGTACTGATGACTTTGCTAAACTGAAACACTAAATCCACTGCTTAAGCATATGCTCTGATACGTCGGAACAACTCCCATTTTCTGCCACGCCTCACCATTCGGCCTTCTCCTGTAGACTCAACAGGAAGTAACGATATCTCTCCAATGTAAGGGAAATCCCCTAAAAGACAGTTATTATCGGCAGCTTAAATTTTTGGATTCACCCTCAATTTTTATTTTATGTGACACTGGTGATCAGAACAATTAGAGAGAGAGAGTGGATCTCCCTAACGGGGAACCTTTAGATATATTTTATGTTGCATAATGCCCTAAAAAAACATCACCAGCTTTTCCCACGCAGTCTTTCTCCATCTCTATGTCAGTTACAGAGAAATCTTGGTTGAAAAGGGTGTTTCAGATCACCATTTCTGAAATGCAGGGCAAAATTATTGACAGAACTCCAGTAAAAAATATAGGATTTATAAAATGTGCTGGGTATCAAACAGTTAACTCTAATAAGGTGTATGCCACCTACAGGATTGCTGTCCTGTAAACCATTCACAAAATACAAACCATTCTGTGAATGGTCAAGAAAGAGGATGGGAGCATAAGAGCCACAAGTCTCCTGTCGCAGTGCAAAAAAGCAAAAGCTACACTATCCAGCATCAATAAAACAGTAAAAAATTAACAAGTGGCAGCAATTCTGGAGCTGGCGTACAACTCATTAGAGCTATTTGTTACCGATCATGTTTAATTTTTTTTCTGGAGTTCTTTTCTATTATCAAACAGTTTTTATCTATTTTATATTTTAAAATTATATACATATTTTCCAATAAAAAGAACTGTAACATATTTATAGCAGAACTATTCAAGTACTACAAAAATAGTAGATTTAACTCTAATAACTTACCTTTGTATGCTAATAGGCTGAATAAAACAGATTTGTGTAAGTCTAAGGAATTACAATTGCCTGGGCTTGTTGATTCAAATGAAAAGCTTTTACAAAAAATGTAAAGAAGGAATGAAGGTCCTTGTTGCATAGAAATGTAAATATATATTACAAGGGAGAAATGGGTGGCACAGGGGCTTTGTTATACATATTTGTCCTGACTTTTGTTTATGCAGGTCTGAGTGAACGAGGGAACAGTGGGTATCATTTCAATTTCTGATGTCAACATCAAATTACTTATTTAATTTCATGCCTGGCGAAGCATCGTATAGCTACATGCAGAATCATTTCACTTCATTTGTTATGCTGTGTTTTCTCGGTGATTGGCTTGCCTTCCAACTGACAGCTTTAATTATGACAGGAATTTGATTGCACTGTTGAAGAATTAACATAAAGCAACAAAACATTTAAGGACTAAGACTTACAAAACAGAAATAGGCATTGGAAGCCCATCAGCTTCCCTAAATACAAGCAGCGTGTCATCTTCTTCATACAGCTATTGTACAGATGCAGCCCAGCTAGATATGAAAACAACACAACTGAACGTCAGCACTGCAGAGCACTGATTGTGCTCTACAGACTCACTCTTGCCTATATCTTAGTGATGTTGAAATGTTTTGTCATCAAGCAAAACACAATGGTTCCTGGATTTTGTGATTCTTCACATCTTCATCTGCAAATGTATAAATATCCACTTTCATTGTGAATATTGGTTATCTTTTTACTTGTTCTGTAGGTTTTAAAATGTGTTTTGCATTGTTCTTCAAGGGAGATGCTACATAATAAACTTTAGGTGGTGTCATCAAAGGATACTGTAAATAATGTTCCATTGGGACACATTGGTTAAAGCAGATCTGACATGCAACCCCCCAACAAAGTGTTTTTTGGAAACTGGACATATTTTTAAAATTGTGCACTGTCCGTGGCTTATGTGCATTGCAGCATACGCTTGTACAATCTATATGGTGCTCACAGTTTAGCCAAGTGTACACACATAAGAGTTACACTATCTTTGACCACCCAGTGGCTGAAGAAAGAGAGAGCTGACCTGGCAGTAGAGGTAGAGAAAATGTCAGCAGAGTGCAGACCTTGCTTTGCTGGAGGATGGCAACAGGCCCGTCTTTAATATTGATCGGACCCTGGGCAAACATTTTCTTGGGCCCACCCGGGCCCCCCACCAAGAAAAAAAAATGTAAAAAATGACAACATGATTGTATATCTCCCTGAAAATCTCACTCCATTTCTGTTCTGTCCTTCAATATATGTGAATAACATGATTGATAGAATTACAATGCATGATAGTAGAAAGCCATGATTAGACATAATTAACATGATTAGATAATCAGACTTAACAGAGACATGATTGTTGGTAATTTGACATGATATAGCGTTATTGAAGGTGTAACAGAGGAGGAGCCTAGTTTTCTTTCAACGTTTCGCGCTTAGGGGCGCTTCTTCAGGAGAGGGAGGTTGTCATTCAAATGTGCAGCCCGGGGCGACTGTGCAACATGCTGGGGGCTCCACAGTGAGAGGAGGACGGACACCCCTC